CTTTCCCTCAGCCCCCAAGTGGTTTTTATAGCCTGGAGCAATGCCATAGAGATGGGTGAAGTGAAGCCTTTCTTTTGCCAAATGGGAAAAGGTGATTGTGAAAGGGTGACCAACGTGAGGCCTAGCAAGCAGGCAAGCTATTAGATCAACTTCAGGATAGGGAACCTAAGTTGAAGATCTTAACAACAAGTCTCTTTAACTGTTCAGGACATCATTTTATATATAACTCCAGTGGACTAGTTTGAGGCTACTGGTAAAAGTCATACAACTAATTCCTCTGATTTGCTTGGTCGATAAGAAACATTCTGATTATAATGTCACTTGAATTTCTACTGGCCTGTGTGTAATATGTGGGTCATGTTAGCAGTAATAACTTAAATTACACTTAATTTTGTCCTTATCTGCTGACAAGTCTTCTTATCTCTTACGAATTCCCCTGGTCCCTTGCCTCCCACTATTCCCAAATACCAGCTCTTAAATTTGAAGAAAAATCCACATAGTCAATTCTTTAGCATCTCTTTCTGGGCACATGTACCAGTGCATCATAGTTGTGCTTCCAAGCCATTAAACAGTAAAAATGTACTGGAAATACATCAAATATCAAGTCAAATTTTGGAATCTAAAATTACATCATTATTTTGCTAAATAAAGGTTTTAATGCCACATATTATTGTTTAACTGTCATATCTTATTTACTATAAAATTATTTAATATAAAATGAGGCATACAAATTTATATGTATATATATCAGGTTACCTGACATATATCTGTATAGATCTATCTATCTATCTATTTACCTATATACATAGGGTTACCTGATATCTATCTACCTACCTACCTACCTATCTATCTATGGTCACCCAGCTTAATTAAAACATGACCAGTAAATAGTTTTATATCTGTATGCTCTCTCTCTTTCTCATCTTGTTTTCCTCTCAGAGATGTCCACTAAACTAAATCCTATTTTTAGTATTCTCTTTCTTGTTAAGTATAAACTTTTATCATGTGCCTGTTTCCCTAAACAGTAATGTTTCAATTCTCATTATTGATGTTCAAAATAATTGCACCCTGTGTATCTTCTGAAACTAGTTTACTTTATTCAGTATTTCAATGATTTATCCATATTATTACACATATCTATAGTTTATTCATTTTTAAAGACATATGATACTCCATTGGGTACAGCAGCACAATTTATTCATATTCTTGGAATGAGCACTTGGATTGCTTTAATATTCTATTATAAGCAACATTGGTAATAGAAATTTGTAAGAATTTCCCAAAGGACTGACACCAAGAAGTGGAATTGCTAGATATACACACAGTTTTGACTTTACAAGATACTTCTAATTATTTTCCAAGTTGATTAGACACATTAACATTTCCTCCATCAATGTATAATATCCCTTGTGCTTATATCCTCACCAACCCCTAGTATTATCAGATTTCTTAATAATGATACATCTAGTGACTATAAAATGCTACCTCTTTGAGGTCTTAATCTGGCAATTTGCAGACTAATAATAAGGTTGAACAATCTTTCATGTTTATTTGCCATATAGGTTCACTTTCCCATACCATCTGGCCATTCTCCAATAGGATTTTTATTGATTTGTTGGATTTCAAAATGTATATTCTAGATATTATTTATCTATGGTAGGTGATACATATTAAATACATCTGATTCATATACATTTTTCTCCTTCAGTACCCAGAGTTCTGCAGGGCCAGTACAATGGCCTTTGATACAGACTATTCTTCCTATGCTAATAATGGCTCATAATTTTGTGGGACAACTAGTTTACAAAGTTCTCTTACAAATCTTATCTCACCTGAGTCTCTCAACAATGTTTAAAAGACAAGATGGGTATTATGTTCTTGTTTTATAGATAGGAAGCAGAGTGGCTTGCCTTCGGTTGTAGGTCTATTAAGTCTTCAGACTCTGCATTCTATATCTTCCTTATGATTGCATGATGCTTCAGCTGTTTCTAGAGTATGGCCCAATCATTTAAGAAAATGCTGCACTTTTGCTTAGCATTTTTATCTTAGTTTTTTTTCTCCCTATTCCTCTCTCATATATAACTCAAAATACAGCTTTATTCTATGAATTTTATTCTAATTTCATTATCTATAAGATGAACAAACAAGTAAAGGAAGCACCAAGAGAATTTTTGTAGTTTTGAGAGTCTAGGAGTATACTAGAAATCACAAGAGTCACCTGTTCTGTTGAAAACCACGTTTTTTTAAAAATAATGGATCTTCTTTGTAAGAGAGAGCTGAGTTCAACTTCAGTGTTTTTCTTCCCTTAACCTTTTAGACTTAAGAAGAAGAATGTAGGGAATAAAGAGTAGAAGAGTACACTTTGATATGTATCATTATCATGTAAGTTGGCTAATCTATGACAAGTAGCATTTAATTAATTTTTAAATACCATGCATTTGTTATATCAGATATAGTTAATACTTACTACACTTAGCATTAAATATTGACTTTATCATGGGAAATAATATTGGTAGGGCAATGATCCCATCACTAAACCTCCAGCTGAATCTCTTTGCACCTAAGCAGTTGGGTAGATATCCAACTTCTAGGAGAGACCAAAGAGGGGGAGTTAAGAGATGTCCAAATTTAACATCAAATATTTGAGATGGTGAAAGGCAGTACTTATTACTTCCTGGAGTTGTACAATACATAAACTACTTGGGATAAATAAATTCTCAAGTTAATCCAACTATTGCATGTGAACTCTTCAACTTTTTGGTATTTCCATGAACAATTCTGTTGTTATAGATATTACACACACCAAAGAGAATATGTTTTATGAGACTAGCAGTAACAAGAAAGAATCTGGAGATAAATAAGGAAACAGAAGTCTTACTCTGAGATATTTAATCACCAGATAATATTAAGCACAGAAGAACTTCCTGGATACATCCTCTGATGAATAATACAGACATAGGGTCACATCATATCTTCTCCAAAGAGAAAGGTCTTTAATAGCAACTAGCTATAGTCTAGGTAAGTATTAAATATGGCCTTTACCAGATCACCTTCTTGGAGTATTACAAACACATCTGCAGTTGTATACCTAGTATTCACTCATCAAATATTTCCACATCATTTCCAATGTCCATTTGGTCGGCTTGCCTGTTTTCATAAGTGCCAAGGCCAATGTCTCGGCTTGGCACCAGAATCACGAGGCACTCACAGCTTTGTAGGTTCAAACAGCAATTCTTTATTCCCGCTCTCACACCGCCTCCACACAGGTCCAGGGGCAAACACGTTCTGCCGTCTCCCGCACAAACCACCTACTCCACGAGGCTATCTCCAAATCCCATTCTAATCTCACAAGAACTCAACGGGAACAAGCAGCAGGAACACCCTAATCCCAGCAATAATCTTCAACTTCCAATTTCCCTAAAACCCATTATCTTAAACTGGCAACGCCTTAAACTCAAGGAGCCGGTTACTTCCTCAAACCTGATCAGCTCTAAACCCGGATCTGCCTAGGTCCTTGAGCAAGGTCACCTCATTAAAGCATGCATGCAATGTCCCATCAAATGTCCTCTAAGCAGCATGGGGTACGCTTGGCAAGGAAATTTCGATGCGTCATTCCTACTTGGTAATGGCCCTCAGCACATAAGTGCTGCCTTCTGTATGTATTTTGATCTGAGTCTGAAAGCTGTGTGTGTTATGCGATAAATACTGTATGTCTGATGATGAACTCTCTGTATGTTTTCTTTTATGAGTCAGGCATTATACCAGACTCATACAACTCACGTTGAGTAGGGGATAATTACACCATAAAGTGGTAGCATGAGGTGTACACTGGGAAAAGGGGAACCTAATGACAATGGAATTCAGATGTGTTTGGAGAGAACAAGATGAACTCTGTGTTGGTATTCTGAGTTCCATATGCTTTATAGTTGTGTGTAAGGATATGACCCATATACTCTTAATGACCCATACTCTTAATGTAAGAGGAGAGTCATTCTTAACTGGGCAGCTTCTAGTATCACCTAGTCCAGAGGATCTCAAAGAAACAAATTATCCATTTGACAGGAAGAACACTTCTTATATTTTTAATAAGTATATCTTCAAATCAACGACTAAAAAAAACTTTGTGTATAAGATGAACATATGTACAAGATGAACATATAATAAAATTTACTCTGGGACATGTGCAAGACTGGTGGAACATTGGGATAACAGATCCATACAGGGACTATCCCAGGCAAATAAAAAACCTGGTCATCCTCTTTTATGGAGAGAAGTGTCCAAGGCTTTCTATGAGGCAAGGGTAGGAGGGTTGATTTGTTAGACTCCTTCCTCAGGAGAAAAATGTTTTAAGTCCAAAGAGGCTTCCTGTACCCTTTTCAAGGGGAAAATCATGATAAGTCAAGAACATTGAACATTGAACATTGTACAAGGGTCTGAAAACCCTTTAATAAAAGGTGGTCTTTGTACTAATCTTTAGGGTTAGCAAGAAATGGGGGCTCTCAGAAATTGGAAATCATACCTTATAATGCTATGATATGGTGGGGGAATGAGAGAGAAGAGAGAAGAAGAGGGGGTGCGATGGAACACATCTGGAATTAAAAACACAACACAACACTGGGGGTAATAGAGGAAATACTGCAAAATAGCTGACATGGTGCCTCACGAACCTGATACACAAGACCACGATTTCTAAGTGAGTTTGGGTGACAAGGCAGTACTATGAGAGGGTTTGAGAGCCAGGCCACCTGGTTCTCTGAGAGCAAGACCGGGGTCTCCTAGTGACACTCTGTTCCTTGAGTTGTCTGGGGCGGGGGTCCAGGAACTGCAGCCTGGAATCGGTTTGCTAGGATCACTTTGGAGGGCCCTACTTAGGGCAAATGCAGGGCGCAGTTAACCCGCAGCCTACACCTTGAGCAGGACAGCTCGCCCAGCCGCCGACTCCGCCCCTCGGCCCGCCCCCTTCCAGGCCCCGCCCCATTCTCCGACAGCTCCTTAAGTTTGCCAGCCGCCGGACCCTTCCCACTAGGTCCTCACTCAGCAATCGGGTCTCTACCGACTTCCGGCGGCGGGAGCCGCCGGGTGCACCTACTGCGCGTGCGCGAGGCCCTGGCGACCCCCGATGCTCAGTTCCCCTGTGGCGGGGACTTGGTACGGCCCAGCGGTTGGCGTACTTTGAGGCTCCAGTCAGGGGCGGGCTTTTCAAATTACCCATTTGAAGGAGAGGCGACAGCCCGGACTGGTTGCGCTGGAGATGGAGAAGCAGACCCTGAAGGGGCCTGAGCTCAGCCTGGCGGGGCTTCCCGCCCAGCAGGTGAGTCAGGAGGGAGCTTGCAGCCCGCGAGAGGGACTCCGCTGCAGCTTTACGCCTCGCAGTGTCTGGTGGTCGGGGAAGCCCCAGCCTCGCGCCCTGAAGACCGCAGTCGCCAGACACAAAGGGAAGGACTAGGAGATGCATTGTTGGGGCTATGAAGGACTTGGCCATCTGCACCCTCTGATTTTGCAGGGAGAAACTGAGGCCCGAAATGGGGCGCGATGCCAGAGCCCCGCAGCGCGTTTCTCTGCACTCCTGTGCGTTGCCCTCCGCAGGGTTTGGGCTCTTGTTTTTACAAGTGTAGGTGGTGCTGGGGGCAGGGGGTGTCCCGGGATTTGCAGGAACGCCCTGGAGGACTGCTGACTTGGTGTCGGATTTAATGGAAAGCATAGCTCTTCGAGCGATGTCTGTGCACAACATTAACTGTTGGTGGGAGGCGGGGTGAAGAAGCAAATTGCAACCTCTCAGCTTTAGAAAATTGAAAGTTTGATAGTGAATTCTTTCCATATAATTAGAAAAGAAAAAGGGAGGACACTTTGAATTGGATATAAGCTTGACGCTTGCTTTTTTCCCCACATTTTTATTGGTGCATTCTAGTTGTACGTATTGATGGATTTTGTTGATACATATTCGAATATGCACAAAATAAACAATATCATTCCCTAGTAGTTGGTGTTTGCTTTTTAGATATGATGTAAAATATATGTTAGAAACCTTTTAACTTAACATAGACCAACCTTATTTCTTGGCAACATTACTTAAATATACCATCCACTCTTAACCATAATTATAAGATCTTAAAAGAAAACAATGGCGTCTTTCATTTGGATTTTCACTTCCTTTTTAATCTCTGCCTTTTACCTACTCATGAAATGCAGTTGTTTAAACCATATGAAATTGCCTGTTTTGTGGGTATAATATTTGCAATTTCATATGGTGCACCTTATATCTTTGTTTATAAGCCTGGAGTTTCCTTAATAGGTAATATGATTTTGAGAAGTCTTAAATAATACTGTGAAAAATAAAATAAAGCAAGATGTTAGGAGTTACAGTTTGGTAGTCCAGGACCTTTATTAGTAATTTGTGCTGTTTATGTCAACATTTAAAAATAAATATTTTGATTAAAATACTTAAAAAAATCTTGTTAGGTACTTTGGCTGCCCCAATTTTTAGCATAATCTTGATTTCTAGTGAATTGACAGTCTGTTGAGGTTCCTGTACTATCATATAGGTGTAGCTGTACAGCTATATTTATTAGCTGTGATTGCAATAATATTTAGGAAGGATAGGAAAAAGGACAGCAGATAAAATCACAAAATAAGTTTAATTGCATGGAATGAAAATGTTTAAATATTAAATATGCATAAGTGCTGGGTTATATACATGTGTTTAGTGATGTCTAAAGTCAAAATAATTTTCATGTGGAATTGCTTCTGTTGTTTGAACCTTGGAAGAAATCACAAAATAGTAATAGATTTCAAACAATAAATATTTTATTTGGTGTATTTTTTTCCATATAAATGAAATTGTCATCTAATAGGGGTAAGACTAAAGACTTTGATGTGGTCACATGCTAGGCAAAGACCTATTAAACCTTGGAGTCATCTCTGATTCCTCACAGCAGAGAACATTAGTTTCAGATTCAGAGTCAGGTCAAATCCAACTCTGCTTGTCTAGATTTTATTAAATTACCTGTCTTTTCTAAGTTTAGTTTCCAAAGTTGTAGAATGCTGTACAATTTTGATTAAATTGTCTTCTTTAACTCCAGTTTCCATAGTTGTATTGGCTATAATGCCTTTCTTAGAAAGTTGTTGGAACTTGAGAACCTCTCTAAAGTACTGAGTACAGCACCAGCACTCATGACATGCTTCAGAGATGACTATTATTATTATTATTATCATCATCATCATCATCCTTTGTCCCACTCATCTGAGCAATTGGGGCAGTCAGCTATTTTTTATTTTAAAATGTCCAAGCTCTTGAAAAAGACTTGAATGAAAATTAAATTTGAGAAATAATACTACCTAATTGCTGAAAAGTCAATGGATACAAAACTACAAGTTTAAGAATTCTCTGTTCAATTCCATTTTCATGGTAGTGCTAACAGCTCCAGACCTTTTTCTGTACATGAACAATTCTTAAAATACACAAAACTTCTTTTGGAAAACTGCGATCCTACCATATATAGTCTTCTATAATTTTTCTTTATCTTTACCTTGGTCTCTTAGTTAAACTTGACTTTTCTTATCATTCATTAGTGAATGATAATTTCTATCGGAATTACTACTGGATAATGTCTATGTTGTCTTCCCAGCAGCCCAACTTCAATTTTTTTTAAAAAAATTAGTTCTTAATAACAACAATAAGGCCATTTTCTTTGTACTTTCTTTGTGTTCTTCTAGCTTGTAAAACCAATTCAATTTCTCATATATTCTGTATTTCTACTTTTTAAATTTTATTTATTTGTTGATTATTTATTTATTTATTTGCAGTGGGATCAAACTCTGGACCTGGCACAAGCTAGGCAAGCACTCTGTCACTGAGATATACCTCTAGCTTTAGATTTATAAAGTGTCCTCCTATTTGATTCTCAACCTCAGCCTAACTTTAAGTACTTACAAGATCAGGACATCAATGTAGGTTTCTATTTGACCTGATTATAAGCAAGCTCTTATTCAGAAAATTGAACTAGAAATAAGAAGAGGGTAGCTCCATCCCATTCTTTGCTATTCTCCAGATTTGTATGCAAACACTGCAAAGAGGGATAGGTACAAGGAAACATGCTTTTGCCATTGGTCTTAATCAGCCTTGACTCTGTTTGGCCATTTCCTTGTGGCTGAGGCAACAACAGATGATTTTAGCCCCCTAAACAGTAAACATCACCATTGAATGCTCAGTGGTTGCCCTCATTTCCTCCCTAGGATCACTTTGTTGCATTTATTAACTAAAACCAACTTCTTTGATTCCATCAACCCTTACACTACAGCTAGTATTGCTTGCCCAGAGAGGTCTACTTCTGCAAGGAAAGAATAGATGTATACTAAAAGAAGTTGCGTGGAAAACACATTTCTGGCTAAAATGATAACCTTTTAGAATTATTCAGAATACATTAAAAAATCCATGCATACACTTCCCAATCCATTCTGCTTATGTTAGCTACCCCAGATCCACTTACATTAGCCTGACTAGACCTCCCTCAGCAAGAGAGAAGGGTCATAGTTTATGTATGTGAATTGGTGTGGGTAAAGGCTAGATATTTTCAGCTTTGTAGGCCATAGTCTATGTTGAAATAACTTAACTCTGCCATTGTATCTTGAAAGTAGCCATAGACAATATGAGTAAGTATGACTGCTTTCCAGTGAAACTTCATTTACAAAACAAGTGACAAACAGGCAATGGTTTACTAACCTCTGTTAGTAACTTTTTCAGATCAGAATTCTAATAGTATCATCTGCTGAATATACCTCATTTTCTTAAGAGTATTAGCTTAATCTTACACATAAATCTTTTTTTTTAAACCTCAACTTATATTTCTCTTCTTCTATAATTTTATGGTGTCTTTTTCAATAAGTGACAGGGAGAAGGCAATCTTCATTCATAGGATAGAAACTCTAGAAGCCCAGATTGATTCCTTAATGTGGCTGTGGCCACCTGCTGGTTCTGTAACACTGTTGCAACTTTCCAGGTTGCTGTAGAAATTTCCAGTAGTCCAGTAGTTCCTTCTCTATCTAAGACATAAAATCACTAGAGGAACTTTTAAAAAAATGCTCAGGTCTCACCTCGAGAGGTCTCATTGGTTTAGGTTAGATAGCATTTTATTATTATTATTTTTTAATAAAGCCCTTCTTCTTTGCCTCAGATGATTCTAAGAAGCAGCCAGCTTTGAGAGTCATGTGCTAGTTCAACTGGATGCCTCACTGTTGCATTTAAAAAGCAAAGTTGAATTTAGTGGCACCAGATGGTATTTATATTTGGGTTTTGGGGTAAAGCTCTTCCTCTCAGCATCAAGTTGCTCCCTGTGTTCACTCTCCAATACCAACCAGTCTGCCACTGTTAAGAGACATATGGGTCACATAGATAATTCTTATAATTAATTGCTAATTACATTAAGGAAGAATTTACTTTGGGGCTGACAAGTCATAAAAAGATGAAATGGAGTTGTTGAAATTCAGTCATGTGTAAAAAAGGAAAACCAGCAAATGACTACGTTTATATGGTACACCAGTTTTGAGTTACAACACACCAAGAGAAGGTTTTTATGTGGTGATTACATGATGTAATTACAGAAGGTAATTAGATCTGTTTTCTGTATGTGAAAAGCACAGTTGATTGATTTGGATAGTCAAGTTAAATCATCTACTGCAGTTTCTCTTTTGGGGGTAATCTTTATAGACTAATCTCTCTCCTAACATACATCTTTTCTTTCTGAAATAACTATTTTTCTAATATCTGAGACTTTTATTATTATTAGATTCCTTTCATATTTTAAATTTATATTTTGATGTAGTTAGAAAGCAAGTAATAGTGCTCATTTTTACACAAAAATGGACTTAAAAGAAGCATTATTGCATGTTTGTGGTAAAGAGTACCTTTGTGATTTATAGATTTTTTTTTTTTACAAAATCATTGAATAAAATCAGAACCATATATTCAATTTGTAGAATTTTATTTCTGAAAGTGAAGCTTGTATATAGATCAAATCATTATAAGATTATTAAATGAACTAAAAAAAAGACTTTCAGAACTAAAATACTTAGTAGTTTCTTGATGACTCAGTATGTCCAGAAGTGTATTCTAAGTGTCCATTTGAGGTAGCTAGACCTGTGACATTTTCTAAGCAGAACCCTACATTCAAACAAGATAACATTCTGAGGTTCTGGATAAACATTAATTTGGGGGGACACTATTAAACCTAGTATAGTTACAGTAAGAATGTGTACTGTCTCATTATTGTTTTTCTTCTGTTTGTCCAGTAGATTGTAAAAACTTTCTAACAATGAAAGAAATTAAGGTTTTGCAAAAAAAAAAAAAAAAAATTTAAAAAGCTCTATTTTAATACTATTATATATTTAAAACTTTGTTTCTTTCTCAATATGGTATAAAATGAATGATCCCTAGTACATTTTCTATTATGGATTTAAAAAATGTAATTCTGGATTTTTGCTACCTTTTAAAAATGCTTTTTTCTTTATTTTAGGACTGCAGCATTCAAGAAAAAATAGACTTAGAAATTCGAATTCGAGAAGGCATATGGAAGCTCCTTTCTCTGAGCACTCAGAAAGACCAGGTTTTACAGGCAGTTAAGAATCTTATGGTGTGCAACACTCGAATAATGGCTTACACATCGGAGCTACAGAAATTAGAAGAGCAGATTGCAAATAAAACTGGAAGATGGTTAGTAGCACAGTTTACCTATGACTTTTAATGTACTTGAATATTTGAATTGAAAATACAATATAATTTAAATATAAGTACAAATCACCATACCTTTGTAAGCATTTTAACAATAGGACTCAGGGTGAACTATTAAGCAGCAGTTTTCATTGGGCAATTTGTTGTGCTCAACATGTAACAATACAATGAAAGTGACTAAGAAACAAGGAGTAGGGGGATAATTTAAGAGGAAAGAACTAACACTGATGAGTACACATAGAAATGTAGACTTAAAAAAAATGAATTGCTTAGAGACCTGTTAGTAAAAAGGTACTGGTTAAGAATAACAGAAACTTAGATAAGGAAATTCAGATGAGTGGGCAGCAAAATTATAAAGATAAAAAAACTTATGAGTGGAGAGAAATGCAAAAATCTTCTAGCATATCCCTTCAGATAATGAACATAAGTTCTAGAGAGGCAAGGAATTTACTTAAGGGCATGTAACTAGCTAGTGACAAGCTAATGAGAGTTAGGATTTGCTAAGTAACTTCTGAACCTTTGTGCTATCACTTTTTGCTGCATTTTAGATTAGATCTACAATTTGTATATGAAATTATATTCTATCCTATTTGTAATGCCAGTTCTAACTTTGACCTAACAATCTACTTAATTTAGTGACTAGATGTTAGTGTCTTTTTCAATAGGAATAGTCCTACATGTCTCTTTGTTGATTAGCCTTACAGCTCTGGTACAAGTGAAAAGTTTCTTTGTAGATGTTAGTAGCCATTGTGTTGGTCACTACTTGGAAAGTAAGGTAAAAACAGATAGGAGAAGCTGGGTATAGTATTATGGCACATGCCTATAATCCCAGCTACTTGGGAGACTGAAGCAGGCAGATCACAAATTTAAGGCCGGCCTAAGTAATTTAGTAAGACCCTGTCTAAAATAAAAAATAAAAAGGGCTGAGGATGTAGCTCATCAATAGAGTGCCCTAGGTTCAACCTCAGTACTGTAAATAAATAAACAAATAGAACAGTTTAGAGAAGATTTTTGTAAAAATAAAATATTAACAAAATCATGATTTAATAGAGACCTGGGTACAAAGTAGCCAAACTTACTAGTGGTATTGCTTTTGGATAGCTATTTTCATCTCTGTGTCTCAGTTCTTTCATTACAGTAGGCATGATAATATTTACCTTTTAAACATTGAGATAAAAAAATACATATGTAAATAAATATGAGTAAACCTAATGTAACATCTTTTGCATATTTAATACTCAACAAATGTCAAATAGTTTGTTTTGTGACCATGCATTATTAATAAATTGTTTCAGTATCATAATATAGGAAAATATTTTTCAGATAGACATACGTTGATTTAACTCAGTACTCTTCAAACAGGTCATGTGTCACTAAGTATAGATTATGTGTCCAAAGATAGGTAGTCTTTTAATAAATAATGACACATCTCCTTAGAACATGAACTTTGAAGATGAAGCATAAAACTTTAGAATGTGGTAGAGTTGTTAGTTGTGTTCTCAGCTTTCATAGGGGTTTTGTTGGGAAGCAGTTTCAGTGGGAAATTTTGAGAAGTACTGCTTAAAAAAGTATAGGACTAAGCTGGGTGTGGTGGCTCAGGAGACTGAGGCAGGAGGACCAAGAGTTCAAAGCTAGCCTCAGCAAAAGTGAGGCACTAAGCAACTCAGTAAGATTCTGTCTCTAAACAAAATTTTAGAGCTGGGGATGTGGCTCTGGTCTAGTGCCCCTGAGTTCAAACTTTGGTACCCACCCCACAAAAAGTAAGTGTAGAATTAAGCGTTTCATATTTTATCATTTTTCGTGGTGTCATTCATGGTGTCTAAAATATTCTTCTGGGAGCCATAACTACCTCCATATTTAGTGCATTATTTATAATAAATTATGAATTGGGAATTTTCTTAATTTGGCAGCTTAAATTTTCAGAAGTTGCTGATTTATAAAAATATTAAACAAGCTTAATCTCTTTTAAATTTATATAGTAAAGATGAGGAAGAATTTTGGAATGCCTATTTAAAAGTGCATGAATTTTAATTTTTTTCTGATCTTTGATAGATAAAAATATCTTTGTTTCTCTACACACTTACTTGTTAATCTTTCATATAAACCATTGTTACCTTCGCTTATTGACGTATTTATAGAATTTAATGAAACCTTGAATATTCTGAACGGATTTTTTCCCACAACTTTATTTTGTATATACTTTTAGAACCTGAGTTCACTGATCAAATAAAACTAGAAATTATAGTACTTGATTTCTTTCGTATCTTTTTAAATTGAGGCATTATAATGATATATAAAGTTGGAGTGCTTTGTGGTGTATTCCTGCATGCACCTAATATAATTTGGTCAACTTTATTCCAGTTTTTCCCCTTTTGCTCCCTCCTCTCTCTTCCTCTGTCCCCCCATTTCTACTCTCTCCTTTCTATTTTCACAAAATTACCATTTTTTTTAAATTTCTTTTTTCTCTCTAGCTTCTGCGTATAAGAGAAATACCTGACCCTTGACTTTCTGATTCTGGCTTATTTCACTTAGTATGATGTTCTCCAGTACTATACAGTTAACAGCAAAGGACATAAGTTCATTTTTTGTTTTAGCTAAGTGAAACTTCATTATCTCTATGAACCACATTTTCTTCTTTTTAAATTAGTTCTAATCAGTTATAAATGACAATAGAAAGCTCTTCAATTCATAGTACACAAATGGAGCAGAATTTTTCACTTCACTTGTTGTTCACGAGTTAGAGTCACACCATTCATGCAATCATACATGTACCTAGGGTAATGATGTCCTTCTCTTTCCTATCCCCTTGCTCCCTCCCCACCTTCCATTTGTCCCATCCAAAGTTCCTGTCTCCTGAGCCACTGGGATTACAGGTGTGCACCACCACGCCCAACTTAGTTTTACACTTTCTTAAGCAGTACTTCTCAAACTTTTCCACTGAAATTGCCTCCCCACAAAATCCCCTATAAAAGCCGAGAACAAAACTCAAAACTCTACCACATTCTAAATTTTTATGCTTCATCTTAAAAGTTTATTTCTAAGGAGATGTGCCATTATTTATTAAAAGACTGCCTATCTCTGAATGCATAATCTATATTCATCCCATGCTGAATGGATTATGGATATGGATTAGCATCTACTTATCAGGGAAAACATTTGGTCCCTGGATTTTTGGGACCTAAAAATGCTTATTTTGCTTACCTTGATATTCTCCAACTTCATCCATTTACCTGCAAATGCTATGAATTTATTCTCTTTTAATGCTGGGTAATATTCCATTGTGTATATGTACCACAGGTTCTTTATCTATTCATCTATTGAAGGACATCTAGGTTGGTTCCACAGTTTAGCTATTGTAAACTTTGCTGCTATAAACATCTATGTGGCTGCGTCACTGTAGTATGGTGTTTTTATATCCTTTGGGTGTAGACCAAGGAATGGGATAGCTGGGTCAAATGGTGGTTACATTCCAAGTTTTCTAAGGAATCTCCATACTGCTTTCCAGATTGGTTACACCAATTTGCACTCCCACCAGCAATGTATGAATGTACCTTTTCCTCAACATCCTCACCAAAACTTATTGTTGCTTGTATTTTTGATAACTGCCATTCTGATTGGAGTGAGATGAAATCTTAAAGTATTTTTGAATTGCATTTCTGTATATATAATATATATATATATATAACTATATATAGTTATATATATATAACTATATATATATATATAACTAGAGATGTTGCATTTTTTTCATATATTTATTGATTGATTGTATATCTTTTTCTGAGACGTGTCTGTTCAGTTCGTTAACCCATTTATTGTTTGTTTGTTTTGGTGTCAAGTTTTTTGAGTTCTTATATATCCTGGAGATTAATGCTTTATATTTTTTGAGTACTTATATATCCTGGAGATTAGAGCTTTATATGAAGTGTGTATGGCAAAAATTTGCTCCCAAAATGTAGGCTCTCTCTTCACCTCATTGATTGTTTCTTTTGCTGAGAAGAAACTTTTTAGTTTTAATCCATCCCATTTATTGATTCTTGATTTTATTTTTTGTGCTTTCCAAGTCTTGTTAAGGAAGTCAGGTCCTAAGCCAACATGTTGAAGATTTGGGCCTCCTTTTTCTTCTATTGGGTGTAGGGTCTCTGGTCTAATTCCTAAGTCCTTGATCAATTTTGAATTGAGTTTTGTGCAGGTGAGAGAGAGAGGTTTAGTTTCATTTTGCTGCACATGAATTTCCAGTTTTCTCAGCACCATTTGTTGAAGAGGCTATTTTTTTCTCCAGTGTATGTTTTTGGCATCTTTGTCTAGTATAAATAACTGTTTTTATGTTGGTTTGTCTCTGTGTCTTCTTTTCTGTACCATTGGTCTACATGTCTGTTTTGGTACCAATACCAAATACCATGATGTTTTTGTTACTATAGCTTTGTAGTATAGTTTAAGGTCTGGTATTGTGATGTGTCCTGATTTATTCTTTTTGCTAAGGATTCCTTTGGCTATTCTGGGTCTCTTATTATCCCAAATGAATTTCATGATTGGTTTTTCTGTTTCTATAAGGAATGACCTTGGGATTTTAATTGGAATTGCATTGAATCTGTATAGCACTTTGGGTAGTGTGGCCATTTTGACAATATTAATTCTGCCTATCCAAGAGCACTAAAGATCTTTCCATCTTCTAAGGTCTTCTTCAATTTCTTTAGTGTTCTGTAGTTTTTATTTAGAAGTCTTTCACCTCTTTTGTTAAATTGATTCCCAAGTTTTGTTTTGTTTTGTTTTGTTTTGTTTTAGGCTATTGTGAATGCGGTAGTTTTCCTAATTTCTCTTTCAGAGGATTCATCACTGGTATATAGAAATACATTTGATTTATGGGCATTGATTTTATATCCTGCTACTTTGCTGAATTAATTCATTAATTCTAGAGTTTTCTGGTGGAGTTTTATTAGATCCTCTATGTATAGAATCATGTCATCAGGAAATAATGATAG